TTTCAATTTTGCCACATCTTTCTATGCGTCAATTCTTTCAAGTAGATTCTTTCGTAATGTATTTTGCCACAGAATTATTCATGTCTGTCGTCGTTGTCGTAGGCAACTAGCACAAATACTTCTCCTTCTTGCCACTAATCGTTACCCAACAGCACCACCAACAGTGAGCCACTCATCTCACGCTCATTTATCATTACAAACTGCCAATAATGAGACTTATGAATTGCAATAAAATATCCACCATTATAAATTGTTCCTATTTTCAATTAATTTTTCTTTTCAATGAAACAAAGCTTATCTATTTGCGCGTGATGTCTTTCCTTGAATGAAAGGCACTTGGAAAGTCTTAGTAGATAATTGCTCAGATGTTCCTGCGTTAATAATACTCAGAGGCAGTTTATCAAAGATCTTAGTAAACGAACGCCATAGAAGAACGAAACGTCGTTCTTCTGCTTATGCGTCTCCTGTTTTCACATTCAACGAACAAGATAAGATTTGATATTTCGACAGTTTTTCATGGAATGAAAAGCATCGTTTGACGGTAGGAGATGTTGAGAGACCTAACGAGGAACACTTTCTAGAGGTAGAGAATACTGTTTGTGGAGAGATGTTCGTTTTAGAACAGTTTTTAGGTGTTCTTCTCCTGGATTCGATCTCCCGATCTTTCATACGCTGTACTTCTCCAACTACGTATTTTCCTATTGCACTACATTGTGCAAGAGGAAACTACGAATTATGATGATACATTCGTATGAAAGCCGTACACTTATCTGTAGATTTAAATAGTCTTTACAAGTGATCACTCACATGTTACTAGTTATACTATACATAAGTGTCCACCTTATTTTTAACGTAGACACGACTGTGTAGTATCACCGATAGGTGAAATTTGTAATAGAACTAGAGTCAATGAAAACTACATTTTCGGATAGAGGATAGTCGATTGCATATGTATCCACGAAAATTGGCGCGGGGTCAGTGTAGGGGTTAAAAGTAGTCGAGTGATAACCTGAGTTATAACTTTTGAGTTATAACCGATCAACTTTTTGATCGAAAAGTTATTTCAGTTATAACGATCAACCGCAGTTATAACTGTCAACTGTAGTTATAGCTACTAACCACAGTTATAACTATTAACCTTAGTTATAACTGTCAGAATCGGTTGAAACCATCAATTACCACAATTCAGCCACATTTTATTGCTCTACGATTTTATTTGACAAGTATAGTGATAGTGCGTTCTAGATTACAGCCTTCTTTCATTTTGTCTTTATCATTTAAGACGTCTTTAGTTCCTTTTGTAATGAAAGAATTCATCGAATAAGTTTAATATGCATAATGTGCAACCAATGATTTATTTAAAAAATTGAAGAGAAATTAGAGTAACAAATATATCACAACCTGGTGAACAAGAAAAAAAAATAACAAAGCATTTTTGAGAAATTATATATTCATAGTCTCTGTTAATAATTTATCAATATCACAATCTTCGTTTGATACTGTTTCAATTAGTTCAGCTTCTGTTCCTTCATCATCTTCAGTTGGCAACAGATGAGTATTATCGATAAAACCGAGATCAATTAAAATCTGTTGAAAATCTCGACTGTCAGTATTTAGAACATGATCAAATTTTGAAATGTGTTCATCGTCGACAGGTTGATCTTCGTTTATGTTTTCTTCATCACACTTTTCACGTAAAACACGATGATTGTCGTTAATACATAGAAAAAAATCAATTGCATCTACGGCAGATTTATTCCCTTCATCAATAACAACAGGATCAGCAGATGAATCATCCATTAAATCTAATATATCTTCCAAATAACCCATATCCATCATATCATCAGGATTGCTCAATTCCGCTTTGTAAAATGTATGTATTTTAGCAATTGCTTCAAGTGTAAATAGATTTAAACGATTACGACGTTTACTGTGGTGCCAATCAAGAATGGAGAATAGCCGTTCTGGCATAACTGAATGAGGTGTAATTGAAAAAAGCCGTAAAGCGATTCTAGACAAAGAATTCTTATATGTGTTATCATTCGTCATAGACCACCACGACGCAGGAGTATCATCTACTAATGAAACAAAGTCAGATCACAAATAGAATTTACGGTATTTACCTTCAGTATAATGAAGTGCGTATGGTCCATTTTTAATTTCATATCGTTGTAAAGCACCGAGTACATGTTTTGTCGTTGCTAAATTGTTACCAGTTTTTTTGCTATACTCAGCAAGATAACGATAAACAGCAGATCGACCATCAGCAAGTAAACCTGCGTCATGATTGAGATGAAGATAATAAGCACTTAAGTAAAGATCATTATGAAACTCCTTCAGTCGAATATCGACCACTTTGCTAACAAAACGACCAAACGTTCGAGTTTCAGTATTAGCAATAAACTGATTTGTTGTTAAACGAAGATATGATAAAATTAAGAAGCAATCAGCCAATGTAACTGAAGAAGACTGGATAATTGACATTACATATGCTAATGGTTTCATAAGTTTATATAAATTTTCTACGTCGGTAAAAAATGAACGACTATTCATTATATTGATTATTTTTGTTGGTGCTATTAATTTATCAATTGCTACAAGTACTTCAAGTGGTGCTCGAAGAACAATTGCTACGCTTGACCACCGAGTAATAACGATTCTATTAGAGTTTCTTTTTTTATTTTTAATCGTTTAGCTTCTTCTTTAAGTTTTGCTTTAAATGCATGTGAATGATTGGAAAATGATGTGATTGTTGTTACTTTGCTAATAATATTTTTCGCATAAACATGCTTAACTACAACACCTAAAAATAAAAAAATCGTCTGGTAAATATTTTTACAGTTGAAATTGTACTCAGAACTCATACAAAGATGTTAAACAATAGACGTACCAGCAATCAAGTTTATGGCATGTGCAAAACATCGCAATTCAATTATATGTTGATTTTCTAGTTTCGAAATGAATAAATCTTGCATCTTTTGCATTGTATTTGGATTATCTGTAACAATTGCACATAACTTTGAAATAATGCTAACATTCGTAGAAGCTTTATTCGACATAGATTCTAAACGATTCACCAAGAAATCTGCTATGTGACTGTAGCTACTAATATCAATAAGAGAAAGAACGATGGCTTTCCGGCTATCCGTGATAACGTTGTATTCATACAATGATCGATGACATCGATCGCTCCATCCATCAATGTTTAATGTAAGATGAGCAGCTTCAGCAATCAATGTTTCATTTTTATGCTCCACATGTACTAATTCTTGTATGAGGATTCATGAGCCAATTTTTTTCGATCAGGTAAATCATATGATGGATTGAGTTTTTTCACAAATTCGAGAAAAAAACTATTGTTAACTGTTCGAAATGAAATACCGTTCATAATAATAGCACGTAATAAATATCGATCAATACTTTGTTGTTCACTGTATGCGATAATTCTTGATGTAAATCTATCCATCGTATATTGTTTACTTGATAATGAATCATCCGACATCATCTAGAAACATTGGTAAAATAAAATAAGATAATATAACATAAGGAAATATTGCACCTCAATTGCTCGCCTTTTATATCTACCGGGTGATGTTTGTTGTTCCAAATCCCGAAGTTTAGAAATAACTTCTTTGCGTGCATTTGAATCGTAATTATTAATTTCATCACATTGAAATGCAATATGAGAATACATCATATTCACTTTTGCTAAATTTAAACACCACGAACAATATTTGCACTGTGCCTTTCGGTGACCTGGTGTTCTGGCAGGACCCATATCGTTGAAATGCGACCAAATAAGACCTCGTGGACGACCATTTTGTTTTGGTGATTCAAATGTGATTGAAGAATAAGAACTGATGTTACTTCCACTGGATGAAATTTGTGATTCAGAAGGTGATGAAGTGCTTCTATTACGATTAGACATCATATTAAACGAAGATTCACTTATATCAAGTTAAATTTGATACAACGACTACTTAGATGATACGGTTAAGAATAAATGAAATAAAATAAACTCTATACTTTCATATCCTTTTTTGTTCGATCATCCACCGTAACAAAGGATGATGTTCGCATTTTCTGTATAAGATTATTCCCTTGACTGAAAGTCTTGGGTCATACAAACGAAATGTCCGTCCGTCCGACCGTCCGACCGTCCGCAGTAGGCGAGCGACATCGTCGTACGCGTCCTCCCGAGCGTTAGCGACAAAAAACAAAAAAAAACACGTAATTACTACTTTTCTCAACAGCAGGACATCATAGATCTGCGACCCCTGAATAAAAAGTGTTAGAGATTTAATTTCACATATTTTATCTGCTGGCATCAGTTTGCTTAATTAGCGAGAAAAACGCTAATTTTTGATAATTAACACTTTTCACCGTGAAGCTAGCATCTGACAAATCTGG